TCTCTCTCTCTCTCTCTCTCTCTCTCTCTCTCTCTCTCTCTCTCTCTCTCTCTCTCTCTCTCTCTCTCTCTCTGTGTTTGCGCGCGTGGCAGTTTGTCACCGTCAGTTGTGACGTTGGCGGGACAAGGCATCTCCATCGCAAACGCATACTCTTACCCAGTGCTTTAGTCGTGCACTGGCTGGCGCTTCTCTACTAGACTCCTATGTTGCACATGAGATTACATGTCGAAGTTCCGTTACGTAAGCTGCCCCATTGAGAGTTCCTTACAGCCCGCCCGCCAATCCACCCCCGTTCTCTCTCTCTCTCTCTCTCTCTCTCTCTCTCCCGCGCGCGCGGGCACACGCTCGCTTGCTCGCTCGCTCGCTCGCTCTGATAAGATCCTTACTTGTCACACTGTCCCCAGACGCATCTTCAGGGATATGTCTCAGGGCACAGTCAGAGACGGCCCGCCATAGTGATGCCGCCTTTTTTAATGGTACAAGGCCGGCGCTTCTCCCGTCGCCATCTTTCCCGTCTCTTCACTCTCTGAATTTGATTATCATTTTGTCAGCAAAGACGCAACTGCGTTTGCATTGCATGAGCCGTCGACATCCACTCTTTGATTTTTGGATAGCGAAGAGCCTTTTTTTCCTTTTTTTTTGTCACAACGTGATGTCGGTTTCCGGTGAGCAAACCTGCCATGTACTGCTAGTTTGTGAACATTGCTAAGTTCACGTGACGACTGCCGCGATCGTTAGAAACCCTCGGGAACACCATGGAGGCAGCGAGCGAGGGGGAGCAAAGGATGGGAATAGCGGCTGAGCGCGGATGAGCTCGAGCGATGAATTCACCCGCTCTTTTCTTCTTTTAGTTCATTTTTGGATCGTAATTGGTGTTCGATTGAGCCGCTCAATGCCCGCGGGTGACCGTGCTTCGTGTCGCCGCGTGGCTGTCGACGGCTCGCAGAATGGAAGAGATTGGCAGAACCTCCATCTACATCACAACCAGTCAGCGTTAGAGTGCTAACTCAGCGACGGCAAACACTCCCATTGGGTCTGTGCCGGCTGCATTTGCCCTTCTTCAGGCATGGATTCAGTCCAGGCAATCCAATTCAGGTAAGTATGCACTAACTCTGGAGACTTGCGCATCAAGAGCAGGGAGTTGTGGTTCAGTAAGGGAAGGCGACATCAGTTGGGCAGTTTAGGAACAGTTTTGCTTGGGGCGGAGGGTTTCTCACGTGAATCCTAAGCGTGGGTGAGCAGCTGTACGCGTTGGGGATATGAAGCTCTCCTGTCCTGTAACGGACCTTTATATCGCTTTATGTGATCATTGCAGGCGTCTTCGTGTCTATTTCTTTGCCCGGGCGCGATTGGTCACAGTCTATTTGATGGCAATAGCAGCAGCCACTACGGTGTGTGGCTGTTATCTGGTCCTCGTATGCACAGCCTGCCGGGGATCAGCTCATAGAACCGGGCTTAGGAGTCTTGCCTCCAAGCCCAGCTGGCACGCGGGTGATCGCCTTCTTCAGGAGTCGACGAGTGCCGCTCCAGCGGCACCGCAGAACGAGCAGCAGATAGAGTATTCGCCGTTTGTAAACGGTTCCGTCACGCGCTTGACGTTGCATACCCCGCGGACGAATGGGACGGCGGGGAAAGATTGCCGGTCAGTAATTACGGACCTGGTGGTAGGCTCGGGTGAATTGTATTATATCCTGCACCAGTACTGTCCAGTGGATGGTACTTTCAAGGATCGGGCGTTGTCGAGTAGGAGACTGAACTTATCGCAGGTGCACGATGGCAACGGTTCGAGCCCGCAGGAGGAGGACGACTCCTTGATAAGTCACATGTGGCCATTCGGGCAGCCGAACGGGATAATAATCCGCGAACCAGCGGATTTTGGAGATGCTCACGTGACAGGAATGGGTCTGTCGAAAGATAGAATGCATCTCGTCTTGAGCGTAACCAATGGGGACCCAAAAGTAATATTGGACAGTGGAACCATATCTGGTGACCAAAATCACTCCAGGTTCACATCTTTGTCGCTCGCTGACGGCTCGCGTTCGTCCTCCGACCCTTTGCGCACATTGGTCCAGGCGTGGGCGTTAGAGTCTAACAAGGGTTTTCTTTACTATTTGCAACTTGATTCCGCATTAATTAACGTCACCGTTAATGATGTCGGGCTTCCAAACGGCCCTCTGAACCAGGTCACCCCTTTGGGCATCCAAACGGGTATCCATCCTGACGAGGAGTTCCAATCTGGAAGCCTTCTCTCTGACGGTAGTTGCCTTTACTCCGTGACTTCTAATGACGGGTTGTTCGGGAGGAAGCTTGGGGATGGACACTTCGACCACTTTACAATGGCAGGCCCTTACGGTCCTTTCCTGGGGAAAGAGATGGACGTGGTTGCAACGCCTCACGGATGTCACGTGTTCACGACCGCAAACAACACAGTTGCGGTCTTCAAACTCTGGTGGCCCTGCAGTGGTTTCAACGAAAAGCGGGTACTCCCACATTATTTCGGAGAAGCAGATGTTACGGCATTGGCACTCGGTAACGACAGTGACGGCTTAAGCCTCTACGTTGGAACCAGCGATGGCAGCGTGTATCGCGTTCCGCTGAACGGGTCGGAACTGAGCCGTTGTGAAAACGAACTGTACATGGGAGGAGACAGCTACAGGCTGAATTATGGACTTGCACTGAGTTTTTTTCCTGTTAATCTGCCATCGTCGGGACTCGCAGGCGTGATCTATTTCATAGTAGTTATTGTACCCACCCTGTGGCTTTATCTAGCATACACTGTATATTTAGTTGTATATGCTCCTCTGATATTTATATCTATAGCAATAGCAATCTGCATCGGGTTTAGCGTTCGCGGTTTTGTAAAGCGTCGACGTCGAGCTTTGGAACCGGTCAGTATTAACCATACCGTTCTCGCCCGGCCGACGACTTCATCTGTACGGGACTGCACTGCTAAGGATTTCTGGGGACTGAGGCCGTCGCGCGTCAAGCAGTTTGGTTGGGAACTGCTGTCGGGTTGCACGGAGAATTTTAGCGAAACCTATCGCATCGGGGACAAAGGGGCGTTCGGGAAAGTATACAGGGGCTCGGTCGACGGCAAGGACGTGGCAATCAAGGTGATGACCGGTGAGCTGACGGACGTGAAACGGAACCAGTTCGTGGCGGAGGTGAACACTCTCAGTGCAGTTAATCACGTCAATCTCATCCAGCTCACTGGTTACTGCCAGGAGGGCAACCAGTGCATCTTGGTGTACCCGTACTTCAGAGGCGGATGCTTGCACGAACGGCTGTTCCCTCACACTGCTAACCAGAGGGAACACGCAGAGGAGTCTCCTCCGCCGCTCACTCTCCAGGAGCGCATCAGCATTGCCTTCCAGATTGCCAGGGGGCTCCAGTACCTACACGATGATGCCAAGCCTCCCATCATTCATCGGGACATCAAGAGCAGCAACGTCCTGCTTGGCGATGGCTGTGGGGACAGACTTTACGTAGTCCTGGCTGACTTCGGACTGGCGGCCATCGGGGAGAGGGTGCTGGACACAGGGCACGACCACATTGTTATCACATCTCACATTGGTGGCACCTTCGGGTACATGTCGCCGGAGTACATGCTGAGGGGCGAGCTGTCCGAGAAGAATGATGTGTACTCCTTTGGGGTTCTTGTACTGGAGCTGCTGACGGGAAGGAAGGTGGTCACACGGGCGCCGTCTGGGGTGGGATGGCAGACACTGGTGGACTGGGTGAAGCCTTTCCTTCGGGSCGACAGTGAAACAGCCCAAGACCCGAGCCTGGACATGCCACGTGCTATTCTTGACCGCTGTTTGTGGGATCAGATGGCGGGAGACTCTACGACGCAGATGGTGATGAACGCTTTCAGACTGGCGTGGGAATGTGTCCATGAGGACTATGGGTCAAGGCCGGCAATGCGAGCTATTGTGCAGCGCTTCCACAGCATGCTTCTCGATGTAGGATGGGACTTCTTGATCAGAACAATGGACATGGAGTACCTTCTGGCGATGTCAGAGCCAGAGGATACCATCTGCAAGCACGATGATGCTGAGTCACAAGAGCATCACGAAGTATTCCTAGAGTGAGGGAAAGGATGAGAACTGTGAAATTTAATACTCTTTTTGAAATATATATATGAATTCATTTGTGTCTTAGCGAGGGGTAGCCACTAGAATTGTAGTATTGGGTAGATCTCTAGCTCCTGATCTGCTTATTAACTGTTACATGGAGTCTGCCTTGCGCACAGCCGGCAGGCTGGAAGGTGTTTAAATCTTTCACTTGCTGGCAGGTGAAAGTCACTGTGCGGGCGAAGACCTGAAACTGCTAATATTTCGATGTGTGGAACATTCATTAGGTTCAGCGAACGTTATCTTAGAGCAAGACCGGGTATGCACTGGACGTCTTGCCATTGGCTTGCCATTGCCTGTCCCGGACGTGTAAAAGTGTTATGGCACTGTAGCATTGGGCTTGTAGTAGTTGTCACCAACACCGCATTCTGGTACTGAATCTTCTCAATTTAAACGACAGACTTTAATAGTGTTTAAAGTAATTGCGACGGCCAGAGATCATCTCACAAATGAAATGAGTTTCAAAAAAAAAAAAAAGCAAATCAAAGAGTTCAGAAATCTCTCTTGAGGTGATATCAGATTCATTTTATTTTCCAACTTGTGATTACATCCATCCGAGGATTTTATTATGTCCTGATTATCATCGGGTCTTAAAATTAACGTGCCCTTAAGCAGGTTTGGCCGCAGGCAGGACTTGGTGAGACGCTGCGAGCAGGGGAACGAAGGGGCTGAAGTTTTAGTGAAGGCCGGTGCACGAGGGCCATAGACGACGGGGAAGTGCAGCTGGGGAGTTTGCGCCGCTTTGTTCACAGCGCGCCGGGCAACGAGAGAGAGGCAGCGATTGCCAGGGCAGATCGCGGGCATCGAAAGATGCCGTGCCCACCGTCTGAAAGGAAGGAGAAAGCGACAAAGAGGGGGCGCTTGGGTGCTTCCCCGTCGTTTTCGATAGGAAGGAGCGAATTCGTTTTCTTCTTGTTTTGTTCTCCCCCGTCGCGTTCAACTGGGGCTCGCCACACCACTGTCGAAAGGCAACAAAAATCGACGGCTGTCAGAATAAATTTGACAGCCTCCTTTGGACAGTTTGCCCCCCTTTAGGGCCTCGCTACACCACTCTTGAAAACGCGAAATATCTCAAGGGACCCAAGAGCGTAGCTCAGTGGGTACACCATTGAACTGTTGAAATACAGACCCATGTTCGAACCCAGATGATGGAATTGCCTGGGGCCGGTCAGCTCAATGATGATATCTCAAGACCGTGGCCCTTTTTTTTAAATTAAAAAAAATAAATAAATAAAATGTCTCAAGAGTTGTCAGATTTTCTCAAGAGTCCGTGTTTCAAGAGTTTCGGGCCCTTCGCCACACAGACCTCTTGACAAACGGACTCTTGAGAAAAGGCCCCTACCACTGGGGGACTTTCAAGAGTTGTGTGTGGCGAGGAGGCCTGCTCTTGAGAATTGCTAACCGGCGGTCTAGGACGGACCCGGTGGCCGAAATCACAAGAGTCGACTCTTGAAAGCAGAGTCCGAAATCACCGACCGCTGTCAGAATTGAAGACCTGACAGCTCTTGAGAATCAAGCGTCCCTCCACCACCGGGCCGAGGACACTTGACATATAGAGTGTTGCAGGCGGGGATCTCGGGTTCCTCAAGTGCGACTCTTGAACGCGCGTTCTGACAGCGTTTGAAGTTTTTTTCCGATCCAACCTCTCAAGAGACGGTGTGGCGGCACCGCAACTCTTGAAAACTCTTTCTCAAGAGTGGTGTGGCGAGGCCCTTAGTCGAAAGGCGACAAAAATCGACGGCTGTCAGAATAAATTGGACAGCCTGCTTTGGACAGTTTGCCCCCCTTCAGGGCCTCACCACACCACTCTTGAAACTGTGTTTTCAAGAGTTCGATGCTTCGCCAACAGCCGTTTGAGAGTTGTCGCCCGAAAACTCTTTCGAGAGTTGTCAGAACCTCGTTTCAAGAGCTCTCGAAGCTCCAAAACGCCCAGCCTGCAGCACCGTTCTTTTCAAGCTTCCTCCCGAGGGCACTCGAAGGGCCCTTATTTCGAGAGGTGTCAGGCCGTTACCCTGACACGGCAGTGGGTGACACGGCAGTGGGATCTGTCATGCCATTCGCAAGAGTTGACTATTGAAGCACCAGGGCGGACTCGGGGTTTGAATGTTCACCCCACAGCACTCTTGAGAACATCCAGATAGACAAGCCCGTTTTCGAGAGTAGAGGTTTCGAGAGCACTGTGTGGCGAAGGGGCCTCAACTCTCGAAAACCCGACTCTCGAAAAAGTCTGACAACTCTCGAAACATTTTCGCATTTCGAGAGTGGTGTGGCGAGGCCCTTAGAGGCTTGCCGCACACGACAAATTTGCATCGCCACACAGACTTTCGAAGAATTGCGGCTCAAAAAAAATTTGACAGGTGTCAGGGCCTCGCCACACCACTGTAGAAAAAGCGATATTTCGATAGTTTTGTCGAAATTGGAGACGGGAAGAATGAGAATGCTTCTCGACACAAACTGTCGAAAGTCGTTGAATCCCCAGGGGAAAACTCAAAAAATCTCCCCGTGCAGAAACTTTTGTATCCATTTCCCCCCAAATGGGGAAAAAGGTGCCGCAGGCCCCAATATCACTCTAGGCGTCATTTTGGCACCCTGCAAAACACTCTCCCACCATTTTTACACAGCGGCTGTCACCGGCCCAGCCAGTGTGCAATAATGGCAATAATGACAACCAAAAGTGATTTTGGGACTTGCGGCACTCTTTTCCCCGTTTGGGGGAAATGGATACAAAGGTTTCGTAGCGGGGAGGTTTTATGACTTTCCCCAATCCCCAGCCTTCTACTCCGATGCCTTCGACAGTCCTCGGCTGCACCATCGACTTCTCTTCGAAGTTTGGTGAGTGGGCGTGAGGTCGGGATGGACTAATGTTTGCCCTGCCCTCAGGCGCGCTCGTCTTTTCCCATCTTGCATTCACACGTGCGTACGCTCTACAGTGCTGTGTGGCAAATGGGGGGCAAACTGTCTAAGGGAGGCTGTCGAATTTATTCTGACAGCTGTCGAATTTATCCTGACAGCGGTCAAATTCTTTCGCCTTTTGACAGTGGTGTGGTGAGGGCCTGACAGTGGTGTGGTTAGGCCCTCAGAATGGTACGCTCGACAGACACCCTCCCCCATTCTTTTCCTCCTGCCTGCAGGAGACAGAAATTCGGAAGTGCCCCACCTGCCTTTCAAGAATTGCGTTCGAATTTGCATTGTCAGGTGACACCCGTGCCCTGTCAAAAGGCGGAGTCCATTTGGCCATGACCGAAAAAAAACTTGCCCCTCTACAGCCTGTGTGGCAAAGGGGGGGGTAAACTGTAGACCCGCTTCTTTTGAATTTTTTCTGACAGTTAGGGCCTCGCCACACCAATTTGGGGTTTTCAACATTTTTTCTTCGCCACACAGACTGTTGAAGAAAAATGTTCAAACACATAGACACTCGTCAGAGAAGTGATTTAGACAAGGGTGTAGAATTTAGAAAGGCCCGGCTGCAGCGAATTTCGACATTTAGGAGGGTCCGGGTACTGGCGCTGCCTGGACATCACGTGGCTTCTTCTTCTTCTTTTTTGTTTTTTCTTTTCCTTTTCTAACAACAAAACTTTGCTTATCCTGGGACTTCGACATACGGTGTGGGGAAGGCGGCCTTTGGGGTGGATCCCACTGCCCGACATCCTGGGAAAAAAATTCCAGGCTGGTGTTTTTCAGACTCCACTCATCCGGAAACCCAGATGGAAACCCACACTCTTATGTGACACCCACGGCCTACCGGGCAGCTCTATTTGACGATATATATATATATATATATATATATATATATATATATATATATATATATATATATACAGGGTTGCCAGGCCGAACGTACGGAGGCCCCTAAGCTGAGCCCCGAACGTTCGGGCGTTCAGGTCCCCGTACGGGGCCCGAACCTGAAGGGGTTAGGACCCCGCAAAAAAATATTTTATCACCTAAATATTATTATTTCTTTCTGAATTTTTTTTGGTGAGTTCTTTGTGATGTGAGGTATCTCCCTCTTAATTTTGAAGCCATTCTGTTTAGTGAAATCACACTACGATTATTCAACCTGTCATGTATGCAAACAGTGAAACAGCAAATTGGCGACAGGCGCCCACTCAGTACTCAAGATATCGTATCCACATAAGAGTTCTCTTCAAACTGGCTATGGCGACTGAGCGCCCACACAACTCACTGTTCGCACTCTGGATCACCCTGGATGTCCCACACGCAACACTCAGTATCACACTTCACACACACACATGCTAGGCTACAGCTATGGCAGCGCTAG